GGTTGGTCATGGCACTCCTGTAAGATACGCCCTCGAAGGTGGTGTGGTACGCACAGTTTCCAGGGAATATAGCCTTCTTCTTCCGGGCGATTCCCGAAGCGCCGATACAGCTGGTCGTTCTCTTGGGCATACTCTGGGTAGTTAGCGGGCTCCGCGGCTATCCTCGTCAGCATCTTGGTTATTCAGGTGCACTTTTTCTGTCCCGTTGCTGCTTGTTGTAGTCGTTCTAGCGGTTGTCTCGAGAGCGCATCGGCTACAACGTTTTGGTTCCCTCGGCGGTAGTGTACGTCAAAGCGATACTGTTGCAGTTCTAAGGCCCAGCGGGCTATGCGTCCTGTGGGATTCTCAATGGCGTTGAGCCACTTTAGCGCCAAATTATCTGTGATTACATCGAAGTGGTATCCCTCGAGGTAATCGCACTGCCCACACAATTGCCAGGCATTCTTTTTCACTTGTGGAATAATGGCCCTCTGGGGTCGATAGATGCCGACTGGCGTAAGCGATGACTCGTTCCTGGCCTTCAATCTGCTGCGTCAACACTGCTCCGAGGCCAAAGTCACTGGCGTCGGTCTGAACTGTGAATTTTTCCTCGAAGTCCGGGCAAGCCAAGACGGGTGCTTCTGATAACTTGGTTTTTAATCGCTCAAATGCTTGTTGCTGGTCTTCGCCCCACGTCCATTTCTGACTCTTCTTGAGCAGCTTAGTCATTGGTTGCACAATGTCTGTGAAGTTTGCTACAAATCTGCGGTACCATGATGCAATGCCCAGGCATCGTCTCAGTTCCTTAATCGTTGACGGTGGTTGGAGTTCCTTAATAGCGGCTATCTTCTCCGGGTCTGTATGCATTCCATCCTCGCTGATCTGGTGTCCTAGGTATACGATACTCCTCTGAAAGAATTTACATTTATCCCGGTTGAGCTTAAGATTTGCGGCTCGCAGTCGGTGGAGTACTTCCCGTAGATGCTGCATATGTTCCTTGAGCATTTTGCTGACGATAATAATATCGTCAAGATACGCAAAAGCGGGTGGGTCCATCTCTGGTCCAATGATTCGATCCAGGGCGAGCTGAAATGTCGCTGGCACTGAGTGGAGTCCAAACGGCATTACTTTCCAGTGATACAAGCCTCGACCTGCACTGTAAAAGCAGTGCATTCTTTGCTGCCGGCCGCCATCGGAATTTGCCAATATCCACTCTTTAAATCTAGAGTAGATATGTATTTAGCGTTCCGTAGTTTCTCCAGAATATGATTGATCCGTGGTAGTGGATACGCATCGGGAACAGAGCGGGCGTTCAGTTGCCGGTAGTCCGCGCACATTCGCACGTCTCCCGTCTTTTTCCCCACAAGCACGATTGGTGCGCTGTGTGTACTCTTCGATGGCTCTATCCTTCCGTCGCGTAAAAGTTCATCAACCTGGTCATCAATGATCCGTTGCATCGCTGGGTTCTTGGTGAAATAACGCTGCTTGATCGGACGGTCGTCCCTCATCAGAATCGAGTGCTCCGTAATTGAGGACACGCCGGTTAGTCCGCTGAATTTGTCCAGTTCGGCTTCCAACTCCGTCTCAGCTGTTTGCAGGTCTGCCTCGTCCACGATTGAAGTGTCTCTGTCTAATGGTTCATCTGTAGCGGCTGTGGCCACTGCTGCCGGTCCTGCAGATCATCGAAATGGGTTACGCCGTATGGCTTCGGGGCATGGTGCAGGTAGAATATCTCTCGGGCTGGTCCTCAGTGCCTCGGTGGCGCTGGTTGGTGTTGGTATAGTGGAGTCCTCCGCCGGTCTTGTTGCAGGATCCGATGGTAGCGTTCGGGTACGCGGGGTCGTCCGGGTGTGCACAGCAGGATTCTGCTGTTCTTCGTATCTCGGCTGGACTGGATTCGACAGGGTTGGCGGGGCTGGTCGTCGCTGCGCCTGCAGAGCTGGGTTCGCCAGGGTTGGCCGCCGCTGCGCCTGTAGAGCTGGGTTTGCCTGGATTCGACGAGGTTGGCGCCGCTGCGCCTGCAGAGCTGGTTGATCCTATCGTAACTTAAGTCTCACCTGGCTTATTTCCAGAGCGGCTTCTGTCTTGCTGAGGAAATCCATTCCCAAGAGCACGTCATCGATTGTAGTGGGTAACACCAGAACTGGCATGACTACTTGCTGGTCTCCCAAACGAATGGTAACGCTGAGTGCTTGGGTGACTTCCCTTCTGCTTCCGTCGGCGAGGCTGAGTTGAGTGATGACTGCGCGCTGATTTTGCTCGGTTTTGACCAACTCGGCGACCCTTTCATCGACCCGGTGTCGATGGTAGCACAGAGAAGCTGATCTTCGATGGACACCGTCGCCACTATCCAGCTCCCTTCACATCGAAGAGTGGGTTCTATTCGTTTCCCGAGGGCGTGGCTCGGCAGCAGTGGATAGTTCGTATCCCTTGACGGCCGCAGTCCCAGCAGAACAAGACCCGGCATTCCCTGCTTAAATGTCCACCTTGTGCGCAGCTTCCGCAAGCACTTCTGACGTCGATCCTGGGCAAGTCCACGAGGCGGCAATGGGTGACTTCGGGTGACATGGGTACCAGGGCGTTGGATGTTCTGGGCCTTTCGGTGGGATGGTCGTCTGATGCCTGGTTCGCGGCAGTTGGGTTCCTTGCCAGAAATGTGGGCCGGGCTCTCGATGTCGTCATCAGCTGGGCATATCTGTGTTGATCCCGATCCCGGGTAACTTCGAAGTTCGTCACCAGCTGGGTCAATTGCGTCAGCGTCTCAAATTCATGTCGTCTCGAGAAAAGTTAGTACTCTGGAAGGAGATTTTCGTAGATCCGATTCAATTCCTGGTTCCCGTCGTAGTGGGCTCGGCGCATCATCAAGCGTAGGTTGAGGGCGAAATCTTTGAAGCTTTCACGTGACCGCTGGAGCCTGGCGCGGATCTCATCTTCTAGAGTTTGAAAATAGCGTGGCGGCAAAAAGAAATCCAGAAACTCACACGTAAATTCCTTCCAGGTGGCTTTCTGAAGTTGACTGACTCTAAACCAGTTTCCGGCTCGACCAAGTAAAATGCTAGATAGCACTCTTGGGAGTTGTTCCTTCTCGATCTGATATGCATCCACTCGCTCTTCCAATTGCCCCAGAAAATACAGCGGGTCGCCGATCTCGCCGTCGAAGAAAATGCCCCACTTTCGTAGCTTATCCGCCAGGCCAAAGTGGAGAACTCGTTCGGCTTCCATCCGCGGTAGGGATCCAGGCTGCCCAGTCTCGTTGTGTCTCAGTGGTGCATTCCCCCGGGTTCCAGTCGGAGAAACTTGTAGTAGATGTGCCCCTGCCTGTTGCTCAGAGTCAAGTTTCCGGTACTTATCATCGGGCTCGTAGACTGGGCGATGTGGTGAGGGCTCGCGGGACTTTGCCTTGTATAAGAGCTCCAGCTCTATCAAGCGTTCCACTCGTAGTTTGGGCAGATCGTTTTGATCCATGTATGCGGACATTTGTTTCCGCAGGTCTGCCAGGCTACCTTCTGTGGTTAGCCCGAATTCCTTGAAGATCTCCTCCAGTTGCTCCTTCTTGATGTCGTAGATTCACTGCTTCCCCATGGTATTTGCGGATCTTAGACGTATTGTTTCTCGATGAAATCTATGGTTTTAAACTTAGCTCTAAAACTCTGGCGTGCGGCTAGTGCGAGGTTACTACAGTGACGCTGATGATTTTTCCGGACAGAAAATTTTCTCGAGTGGCGACAGCGATTCTATGGCTAAATATTTCTCTAGTGCCGGACAAATATATATATTATTTCTGGCCTGGCGATTTGTTTTATTTATTTTATTATTAGCGGACCCCGATTTCGTAGCAGGAAGAAAAATGGTATGACTCTGGTGACGTTTTAAGTCACGAAGGATGGAATTCTCTAATTATCCTGATTCCCTAAGTCCCTGCTCGGGCGCCATCTGTAAAGTAGTTATGCTGGCTGGGATATGTCTCAGTCTGGCCAGGGTCGCTTACAGAAAATTTATAAGATTTGGGGACTCGGAAATTTTGGTAGAATTTGGTAGTCGGACCGCTCCGACTGAAGGTGATGGTTGTTGGCTCGCGTTAGAGTTTCCTGCGCAAAAAGGGACTCCGCTTTGGGAATAGGGAAAAGCAACTGAGGCTGGTCGCCACTAGCAGTGCTGGACCACTTGTCTCAGCCGAGGCTAGCGGCTGCGAAGCAAGCGGGGGCGGGTGATCGTACCATTCGGGAGCGGAGGCTGGGCGCCTTGCAGCAGTCACCGAAAATGCACGTGAGGATCGGGTGAGGGTACGTTTCCGGGAGCAGTGGCTGTCCGCCTGGCAACTTGTTTCAACCGAGGCTTTCCGCCCTAGCGGCTGCGAAGCAAGCGGGGAGCGGGTGATCGTACCATTCGGGAGCGGAGGCTGGGCGCCTTGAAGTAGTTACCGAAAATGCACGTGATGATGGGGTAGGTTGAACTTTGGGGTGGTCTTGGTCGGCTGTAGCGAATATACTGGGATCGTTTCGTGTACAGGGTTTTGGTTTTATTTTTAGTAATAAGATGCTGTTTCTACATGTGAATGATTTTCCCTGCCTATACCGCACTCCTTGTCTTAACGCTACTCACTCAGACAGACTCAGTGGATCCCGGCAAGCGTGGTGTTGGTATCCGTTGGATGGTGTGGCTGCAGGTCCTGGCTCGGCTGGTGCACGGGGTACTACCGCATGTTAATCGGTTGGGTTTCTTGACCCAGTTCTGGTTGAATTTCAATTTGCTGATATCCCGGGTTATTCGTTGTCTATTTGGACACGGTTTATTTTTGGCTTATTACCCACCTTGGTGTTCTTCCGAATAAGCTTAATTTGACCCGCTTGTTGAATATTGTTTTGTTTTTTTTTATTGTCATATTTTTAGTTGACGACACCGCATTCGATTCAGCGATAAGAGTCGTTGCTGTGCATGTTGTTGGTTTTGCTACCGTTGCTATAGTTGTTGCTGATAGTTTTGGTGCGAGGACCCAGCGAGCGAGGGATGAGTGCCGATGGCTACGCCTCCATGGCGGCCGGAGGTGCCACTGATGCCCCGGTGCGAACCGGAGTGGCATCGCGGCGAGGACCCGGCGTCTTCGGCTTGGCCTCGGGCTGATGGTACCGCGGGGTAGGTGGCCGTGCTGGCCGCCATGGAGGCGTAGCCCTCGGCGCTTCTCCCTCGCTCGCCGGGTCCTCGCCGCGATGCCACTCCGGTTCGTACCGGGGCGTCAGCGGCACCTCCGGCAACCATCTTGGTGGAGATGGGGCCCACTCTTCTTCCTCGTCCTTCTCTTCCGGCCTAGGCTCCTCTGCCGTATATCGGGGCGTTGGCGGGACCTCCCACATCCTCCTCCTCCGCCTCTCTTAATTTGGCGTGCCACCGGATGGCCGCCTCCACGTGGTGGCGGCGCAGCTTGGCCCTCTTCTCGGGCCCGTTCCTGCTCCGTCGGGTCTCGGACCCCAGGCCTCGCCTGACTCTCCGCCATGGCCCGGCTGACCGCCTCGATGTGCCCAATTGACGGAGTTACCTCCACGTCTCGGGCCTCGGGGGTTTGGCCCCCAATAGCCGACGTCCCGGGTGGGATGCGGCCAGCCCTCGTGGCCTTCCGGGGCCGCCACTCCCTTTGCTCCGCGATGGGGTCATCAATTACCTCGACATCGCTGTCTGAGCTGATGACAGGCTCCGGCGAGGACTCCACGGTGCGGGCCCGTTTCAGGAACCGCCACGGGGTTCGGGTAGGCCGGGCTGCCGACCATCCTTGCAACGGGTTGGGTCCCTGCTGGGCCGCCATCCTCCTGCGTGCTTCGGCTCGGGTGATCACACTGCTCATATTGACTGCTTTCTTCCTAATGGCTGATTGTCGCAGGGTTTCCCTCAAACGAAACCTCGGTTTCGTGTCTTCCTCTTTGCTTGTCACCGTTATCCTTTACCCAGGGTGCTTGCTCTCTTACGGTACAACTCTCTTTGCTGTGCCGTCTTCCCCCTTTCTTCGTAAAACTCATAAGCCTTTCAGCTTGACAGATCAACATGGCACTTTGGATGCTGCGGTACGCTGCTTCTCAACGTTCTTAAACGAATATTGTCCAGGTAGCTTCGGGATATTTCTTGGGTATCCTTGGTGTATCCTAGAGGTATCCTTGGGTTATCTCTAAGGGATCTTTGGGATTGGTGCGGTCTTAGGGTACCCTTGTGTTATCCTTAAGGGATCCTTGGGGTATCCTTGGGCTATCCTTGTGTTATCCTTAGGGGATCCTTAGGGGATCCTTAGGGTATCCTTTGGGGGCCTTTGGGGTATCCTTGTGATGTCCTTGTAGTATCCTTGGACTATCCTTGTGTTATCTTTAGGGGATCCTTAGGGTATCCTTGTGGTGTCCTTGTAGTATCCTTGGAGGATCCTTGGTGTAGCTTTTACGTTGAGCCTTGATGGTGCCCTTAAAGGTATCCTTGGGGTATCCTTAAGGGATCCTTGGGGTATTCTTGGGGTGCCCTTGGTATATCCTTGGGTATTTGAATTATGCCTGCCGTTCCTAATGTTGTTGAGTCGTAGTTGTTAACTTTTCCGCCCGGCGTAATCACGGATAATATGGCGAATTCCCAAAGTTGAATCCTGATGCCTCGCGGTCTGCGTTCCTTCCATGTTAACCGTATCATTGTGTTGTAACGAACTGATTTTGTATGTCTGCTCGCTACGAGTATCGTGCGGCTAGCTCAGAAGATGTGTGTTGTTCGCCCCACCAAATTTATATAAACGTGACCGCCCGATTGTCCAGTGAGAACGCACAGAATGTTAGGATATTTATACAAGGATCTTTATTCGCCGACTTGTCCCTCGGCCTGGGACAGATGGTTGTGTCAACGCCTTCCTGATGGATTTGTGGCTGCTCCACCGTCGCTCTCCGCTGCCTCGCTTCGTGCTGGTCCGGAACGCCTCCGTTGTCTTTGGCCTCGGGGCTATGAGGGTCTAGGGATGCGTCACCAATCCCAGACTAGGGTGAACAGGCACTGGGCTCTCAAAGCGTACGCCTTTCGCAGCCACAGCCTCCAGTCCCTGGATCTGTCCCGGCCGGTCGCACCAGACGCCTACACAGTTTCTACCTGACGGTTCAGGCATACGCCGGAAGGCCGCCAATGCAGTCTCTGTGGCAGGACGCTAGGTTCAAGACGAACGCTTCCGCCCTCGCCTCTTAGCTGTGGACTGGATACGTCGGAGTGTGGCTTGTTTCTCGTATCCTCGATGTCCTCGCTCTGCTCACGGCGCGAATCCTGGCTCCGTTGCCCGCGTGCTCTTTTGAGACTAGGAGCAGCGGGTCTTTGGCTCTCAGGATTCGGTCAGCTGCCTGTCTAGGACTCTGGCGGTGAACTACTGTGCTCTCGACGCATACGCCTCTCGAGACACCCGTGGTTCGGACGCGCGTCCTTCTTGGCTAGTCGCACCAGGGCCTGCACAATTCTCGCCTGCCGGTTCAGGCGTACGCCGGAATTCGACAAGGCAATTGTTTTCGCACGGCAGCTGGTTCTTGACAACTTCCCTTCCGAGCCCACGATTCTTTGTCGAAGGACTCTTTTTGTTCACTTCTGTCGGACTCGCCGAGCAATACGCCAAGCTCAAATCGCGACAAGAATTAGAACAAAGCGCCTAGACTTGAGCGCGTGATGCCTTAAGGACCTCAGCTACCTGTTTCTCAGCTCGGAGACTTCAACTCTAAGTCCCGAACGTCTTGATGTAGCGATCTTGCTCCTGTTGACTCGGCGCGGCTCTGCTTCCTCCTGATGTTGACTTGACTTGTTTTATTCACTGGTTTTCTGCTTGTGTACTGATCTTGCTGGATTGACTCCTTGTGAGTGACTGATCCCGCTTCCTGCGCTCGGCCCGCTTATATAGGCCGGCGTATCCCGTTAATTCTCAGCTTCTCCTTTTTCGGTTTTGCGCACGGCGCCATACTCGGTCCAAAGTCCGCCGCCTTCTACCGTTACACGTTCCCTCCAAACTCCCTCCAGCCGTATTCTCCAAACTCTCTTCTTGTTTCTCTCCAAACTCTCTCACCAGCTGTATTCCCCAAACTCTCACCAGCTGTATTCTCCCAACTCTCACCAGCTGTATTCCTCCAAACTCTCACCAGCTGTATTCCTCCAAACTCTCATTTATTTGTGAGCAGGTATTTAACTCCTCACATTCTCCCCTTTCTTCCGGAACGAAATGAGACTTGCACCTCTTCTCCGGCTGTTATCTTGGAGTTCTCCTTGGATCCGCTGTTCTGGATCGCTGATGTTGGTCCTCCTTCCCTCGACGTCGCTCCTTCTCGTTCTATGTAGTTCTCGCTCCAAGATGTTTCCCCCATAGATTTGATTTTCTTTTCTCCGGCTGTCTTCCTTGTAAATCATAGTAGCCTTCGAGTCCTCTTGCTCCTTCAAATGGTTCCCTCGACGCCCACAGCTCGTACCTGAGTTCCACAGCGCCGATGTTCCATTCCATTTCCCGCCCGAGATGGTTCCCCCATAGACTTGACCTTCTTTTCTCCGGCTGTCGTCCTTGTACATCCTTGTTGCCTTCGAGTCTTCTTGCTCCTCCAAATGGTTCTCTCGACGCTCACAGCTCGTAATTGAGTTCCACAGCGCCGATGCTCCATTCCTTTTCCCGCTCAAGATGTTTCCTCATAGACGTCTCGTGTTCTCCTTCGTATCTCCTTTGAATGTCCCGCCCAAAAAGATTTTTTTCACATATGCTTCGCGTTCTTAGCATTTCTCCTTTTTGTATTGCTTTCGTTTAACTATTAAAAATAGTTTTGATTTTCCCAATCGGTTTTCCAGCCGATCTCCCTGATTTGAAATTAGTGCTGCGTTGCCATCCGGATGGTGGCGATAATAAATTTTGTTTATAAAGATGTTTATAGTGAACCTTCCTTACGTGCCGTCAACTCCAGTTTTCGGGCCCATCGATCGACACTATCGTCCAGTGCCAATCGACCGCCTCATTTATCGAAGCGCCCCATCCCTTTATTGAAGTAATGTAGCACAATTCTTTCACTTTTTGAGTATTTCATGCTTTCTTTTGTTTTCCAATTTTTTGATTGCCGGCTTATGCCCTTACATACGCCCTTTCCAAGCTCAAACTCTCTTTGGCTGAGCCTGGCGACCTGACAGGGAGAGCGCAGAGAGGAAGTTAACCTCATCGCTTGGCATTGTTATTCTCCCCGGCATCAGGTAAGTACCATACATCTTAACGTTTTTCTCGCCTGTGTTTACTTATATCGGGCTCGGGCCACACCTAAGGTCCTTTCTCCAACGGCTCCTCCGGGTGCGTTGCCCCCTTCGTGTTGGATGGCCCCGTACTCGGCGTCGGTGGGGCCCATGAGTCCGGCCGGACTCTATTTCAGTGATCTCGAGGTATCACTTGGGGAGCCTCTTCCTCCCATATCTGCGGCTTATCTCCGGTGGCTGCCCTCGCCAGTCCCTCGGGCCCACTTCCTTCTTCTTCGTCCTTCTCTTCCGGCCTAGGCTCCTCTGCCGTAATATGGGTTGTGCTGGGACCTCCCACATCCGCTGCTCCTTCCTCCGCCTCTCTTAATTTGGCGTGCCACCGGATGGCCGCCTCCACGTGGTGGCGGCGCAGCTTGGCCCTCTTCTTCGGGCTCCTGCTCCCGTTCCTGCTTCGTCGGGTCTCGGGTTCTTGGGTTCTTAGGATAATACTAATAAGTCAATCAAACGCTTGTCGTCTTTCATGGTGATTTGGTGCTCGGCCACTGTAGATGTTCCTGACATGGTGCTGAAATCTGCTAACTGTTTGTCGAGGAATTTCTCAATGTCCTCTTCATCACTTAAGTGTGAATCTACAGCCACCGACAGCCTTTCTTCCAGACATCCATTATGCCGTTTTCTTGCCAGGTATTCGCAATTCATGCCCGGCACATTTTATTTCCCCCGACCCGTCCCGTGAGGAAATTCTATACCAGCACTAATTCTATCCACTACTCCTGGAAGTATTAGAAGATTCATCTTCAATTGTTTGTTTCCAAATTCCACCGTGATCTCGAGCTGTGAGCTTATTCTGCTGCATCTGCCGTCCGCCAACATAACTTGCCGTCTTGTCCTTGTGATCCTTCCTTTGTCAGCCAGTCTATCCGCTAGCTCCTCGTTGATGAAACTTGACGTAGCTCCCGTGTCAACTGTGGCCTTGTATGCGACGCCTTCAATTTCAACGTACTCGGATAACTGCTGCTCTTCCTCGATCAAATTGCCAGTTAGTTTGGAGAGGAGGCACTTTCCGACCCCTGTGCGCCTCTCTGCGACTGGGATCCCTGCCCATTTCCCGCTTTGTGGCAGCACTCTATGCTCCTGACGCCAACTTTGCCCCACACCCAGCAGAACAGTAATCTTTGATTTCTGCATCCTCGTGCCCGGTGTTCGTGTCCGCCACAACGGCGACATGCCTCCTGTGGGTTCATTATGTGGGTCTGTGCATTGGTGGCTCTTGGCATTGGGTTGCGTGCCACCTGAGTGGTGTTTGGTGGCCTCCAAAATGTGATCGTTGGCTGCCTTTGTTGTGTTACATTGGCCGGTGTCCACTAGCCGTAGGACGGTGTTTGGTTTACCGTGCTGTCTTCACATCTCCTGCATGTAGTTTGTGGTGGTGCTGCGATTTTGTTCCGAGAGAACTTGTGTTCGTGAATGAATTCTTCTCGCTCTTTGTCCAGTTCTTCGTACTCGTCAGCCAGGATCATTAGTGTGTCCAGATCATCCACTTTGTACGTTCTTAGTGAAATTCTTGATTATTTCTAGGGTCTCCTTGGCGAGTACCCGAGTGGCCTCATTAAAGTCTGCATGTCCACCATG